GTCCTCCGTCGGTTACGGGCCGGGCCGGGCCCATTTGGCCATCTCTATCGTCAAGTTAACTTTATAATGATATGTTTTTTATAAGAAATATTATTTTATTATTATTTAATAAATTAAATAAATCAGTTAAAATATATAAACAACTTATTATGGATAAATTGGTTATTTTATTTGTTCTATCTAGTTTTGTTTTACCAAACGTTGAATAATTGTTTTGTCCAATTCTGTTTGGATACCAAATGCACCATTATGAAACACTATATATATCTATTGCAAAACTTTTAGTAAGTTGGGGGGTTTTCCACGGAAACAACTTCATTGCCCTTGGGTTCGTTTTGTTTGGTTTAGTTTATATCTGTCTTTGCGTACTTCAAGAAATCAAATTTTTAAGTCGGTATTAACGTATTACTCTTATTCATGATGATCACAGAAGTAACGGGAAAAGCAATCGAAGAAACTGCAGTTACCGTATTGAGACTCTACCAAGACCGAAAAACCAGGTGCTCGATGCCACGAATCTCGAAACGTTACTAGAAACATAAATAACCATTTCTTCTCAAAATATCGAAGGGGAATGGAAAGTCTTTCTTGGCAAATCCATTCAAGATAAACTCCTTTTTTTGTATGTATACTCATAGAATAATATGAATCTGGATAAAACATGAGTAGTTATTTGTACAGTGTTTGATGATAACAGTATAGAATGAGACAAAAATGCTAAATGGATCGAGTCGTCCCTAGAGCGTTCTTTTGATGAGAGTTTTGGTTCTTATTTGTTTGATTGTTTTTTACAGACCATCTCCACCGGGGACGCCATATACCAAATTTGACAGTAAATCACTTTTGGAAACGTTATTTTGAGTAGTGTTTTAACAAGTTTAGAGACTTTTGACATTTTCTCAATTTTCCGTTTACATTTTCTCGCTTTCTTGTTTGTCACCTCCTTTTAGGTCAGTGTTGCATTGTCATTTTATCAGATAAATCTTACCAAACATTACTAACAGTCTGTTTATCTTAATGGGACTTGTAGCTTATTCGGTTAGATATCCATGACTGTTTGATAATAGCTTAATGATATATAAAGTAACTTATTCAATAAGCTTCTAGCAAGAAACTCTATGTAGAAAGTCAATTTTTTTTCCTAAACTTACCCCCAAATTAAAAAACACGCTCCTTTCATTTATAAAAATTAAAAAATATTTTTGACAAAAATTAAAAAATAAGTGAAATCTGGATATAAATCCTTGGGAAAATTGCACCAAAATGGAACCAACTTTCACCTGATTCCTATTTTGGGGAACCAACTTTCAAAATCGTCATTTTGGGGAACCAACTTTCACCTGATTCCTATTTTGGGGAACCAACTTTCAAAATCGTCATTTTGGGGAACCAACTTTCACTTGATTTTTATTTTGGGGAACCAACTTTCAAAATCGTCATTTTGGGGAACCAACTTTCACTTGATTTTTATTTTGGGGAACCAACTTTCACTTGATTTTTATTTTGGGGAACAAACTTTCATCTGATTCCTATTTTGGGGAACCAACTTTCATTTG